ATCTCTTCTAGTTACAACCTTTGTACTCAGTTGCTGCTTGACATAGGTTGCTAAGCTTTTCAAAATTTTGCACATGGAGGATATGAAACGAAATAATCTTTCTTAGGTTTTATATGTACAGTTGAATAACCAAAAAATTATAAATTACTATATTGATACCATAGAATTCCACTATAATTTATCAAGGTTAGTAACTAAACTGTATTTCAGTATAAAAAAATATAAAATTTTGAGCAGACTAAAGACACAACCTACTTCCTTGAAATCATGGTTCGAAAGAAAGAGATGGCATCCAAACACGTTAAAATGGCTGAGAAAGCCACTAGGGAGACATTCTGAGCTTTCGATTGGTTATTCATGTCATGTATAGAAGTAAGTGTATATAAGGGAGCATTTCCAAAAATGGAAAGATGTGGTCAGGGTTCCACTGTGTTTGATTTATTACTTGAGCAATATCTTAGCAAATAGAAAAGATAAAAGGTTCTTATTTTATATTCTAGCTTGTCAATATTGGTAATTTGAGTTCCTAATTTGTACGAAACTGTAGACTTGGTATTTTGACATCACAAACATGTAATTTGAACCAGTGCTGCTTTCAACATACCATGTGACACACAAAAAAGTGATGTTTAACTATGTTTTTTAACATTTATTTTTAAATTAAAAAATTAACTAATGTCTAATACTAAAATCTGAATTATAATCTACAGTTTGATACCAAACATATTGATATAAATTCATGAAATAGTAGTTCAATAAAACTTTGAATGTGAGTCAACAAATGCAATGGCATGGCCTTTCACCCTTGACCCATATGGAAAGGGTTAAGTATTTTAGTTTGTTTTTCATTTTAAAAAATGCTATAACTTGTACTTGTTTCCATAATGTTAAAATATTTTCTTTTTTCCCTTCTGTTTTCGTCGTATTTAAGTTTGTATCATCTTTGGATTGTATTGACACTATGTACTATTCACTACCTACATTAACTCAATTGAATCTAGTGTTTGTGACTTAAATGTAAAAAACAAAATTTATAATGGATATATATATATGTTGTACCTATGGATTAAATTCATTCAATTCTCATTTATTGGTGCCATGTAGCTAATGTGCATAAAATGGGAAGAGAATCTGAGTATAGAGCAGGTATTTTTGTCCTAACTGTGATGTACCGCTCTGTGTCATACCTTGCTTCGGAAACTACCATACTACAATGAACACTTAGTTAAATATGTTCTAGACTTTATATATTTTTCTTACAGATTATCTTTTTACTTATTTTTTATAGTTGTGTAATTGATTTATACAGGTATAAGGTATTTCATGCAAATAAACCTAGATATAGTGTAAATAAAATTTCACGAGATATCTCAAGTTTATAACAAAAGCTTTGTTATACTTAGGTTGTTTCTTTTTCATATAATAAAATTGATCAACTGTTACAAAATATTTTGTATTTCACTTTTCCTATATGTATACTTTCAACAAAATGAAATAAAAAAAATATAATTTTTTTTTTGGAACATACAAAACAAGAGGATAAGGGAGAGGGTTAAAAGGCAGAATAACATCTGGTCACTAACGTCACCTCCCAGAAGACCAATGTTACCCTATAATAAAGCACTTTTATACTAAAATGGTGATGATGTATTTCAAGAGGTCACTATCTATTCAACCTCACGCAGTGTTGCAGACTGATTTTCTGAGCAAGAAGAAACTTATTGGTATTTACCATGACCTGCCAAATCACAAATATTAGGTTTATCAAACCATTTTTTTAATGTCTTTGTGCTTGAAAATTGTCATGAGCAGGATAAATTTTAAACATTTAATGTTACAAATAGATGTGATTTCTTGGAGTTTCAAATGTAAAAAACCTCGTTCAATAAACAGCAGTAATTAATAATTAAAAATAGATAATGGAAAGACTAAGATGATACAAGCAAAGAAAAGAAAATAGAAACAGGATATTTCTCAGTCAGTAATTTGTATGCACAGTGATATGTATGTATCTGTTATGTGGATGTACACACACACACACACACACACACACACACACATATATATATATATATATACTGAGATAAACACAGAGTTTCTTTGAATCTGATCAATCATGGTTTTCATCAGAAATAATCTGTTTCCAATATAGATATCCATGATACATTTCTCCTACATGAATGAAATGAAATGATCTAATACTTGTTTTTCAATGTTTTAAAAACTATAATTGAGATACATAACTAGTAAAACAAGCTTATTCTGTTGAGAAGATGAATTAAAAATGTGTCATTAGGCACTGTGTTTATAAAGATTTTAACTTATAACACTTGATAATTTATTTAGTTTATATGTATTTTTTAAATAAGTGAAACACGTTTTTCAAATACTTCAGGATGCTAATAACTAAAATGTCATCAACAGTGCAATAAGTTTTTGAATTATGTAATAAACCATAAAACTTCTGGTTAATGACAGTGTTTCTTGGTAAGTCACTGAATACAAAATAACATTAAAATTATTAAGATTATCTGCTGCAAACTCTTAATAAACAGTAGAAAATAGAAACAATTGTCTGGTAACTTTTATACACCAAATACCTTAAGAGTGAATTAAATTTATTGATCTGAAAATCATATATATATAATTAGTATCCGTACACTTTTTTTAGGACTTATGGTATTTTTAATGCATGTTATTTACCTTAATATAAAGCAATGCTTGAAAATGAAAGACCTGATAGACTAATCTTAACAATTTACAACATTTTAGCTTTTTTAAGTTTAGGGTAATTGATTTTCCTTCATTGCAAATTTTTTTCTTAATTGACAGGATTAAAGAGGAACATGACATGAACTTCATAAGAGAGAGTATTTCTTCAGTGCAAAAATCATCCTGTTTATCTTCTGAAAAACCCCAACAATCATGTGTGAACTTTGAAAAGAAAAAAATTATATTGAAGAAAGATTCAGTAAGTCCAATAAAAGAGCAATCCAAATGTGGCTCATCAGTGAAAAGAGGTGATGAAAACAGGCAGAAAATTATAAAATTGATAAACAGTACCCTTAACTCATCAACTACACCAACAAATAGATCAAAGTCATTAAAAACTAAAGAGTCATCTCCCAGTATGAAAACAGACATCACGTCAATACTAAACAAGGTAAGAATACAGTGTTGTTTATCTAAGTAAATATAATGTAAAAAAAGAAAGCTTGATTCTTAATTTTATTAAAGAAAATGTTCAGTCTGGAAACTTGAAGAATAAATATTTCTTTGTAGAATTTTAAAATGTTTAATTTGATATAAGCAATTTTAAGTTTTTATTTGAGGAGTAGATTTGAAATTAGGAATGCCTTAGTCACAAGACATATCCATATAGAATGCTTTCCATGCCATGACCAAAAAAATAGCCAACCGTAAAAAGTAGTAGTTTTTAGTGTATCAAAAAATATGTTACATTAAAATAAGCATTAAGTAATTTCTTACTTTTCACAAAGGTTTTTTTCACCAACCATCCAATAAATTCATTAAGAAATTGAAGTGATAATTTAAGTTTGAAATTCTTTCAGAAAAAAGCTGTTGTTATTTGACTTTGTGTTTGAATGGGTATTAAAAATCCTACTTGGATAGGTAATTTGGGTGGGTATCCAGGTGCCCAAAAATTTCCAATCACACAACAGTTTTTAACATGCAGAAGACAACAATATGAACCATAATGCCACACAGTTTAAGTTTACTTTGTGTGCAATGTTGTCTATTTTTCTAGCAAAAAAATATCTAAAACTGCCAATAATAAAAAGTGATGAATATTTGGATGGAAAAATTAAAAAAAACAGTAAATGATAAAATTATGAATGAAAGATGAAAACGATGTTAACCCCGAAACCATCATGTGTACAATAGCATAAGCCTGCAAAGTATAGGCTACTGTATGTAATCTCACTATTCTGCATAAGGTATTGAAATAAATTCAAAAACATCTCTCCATTTTTTAACTGTTCACCAATTAGTAATGAGCACTGATTTAATTAGTCATGAACTTAATATTAAAGTATATAGCTTCCAACTGTTTCTTCGACTGTATACTATTAACTTATTGATAACTGGTAAAGAAACAGTAAAAGTAATTTTTAATGGTTTACCCTGGCTGACTGTCATTACACAATACCCGTGCTGTGCAGACAATATTTGTACATGATGACAACACTTAGGTTGTATGTACCTACGTTTATGTACGGACGTTACGGTATCTACAGCCACCTATCATTATAACACACATTGAGAGATTACAAGACTGCTTAATGCACCCGTGCTATCAGAAAAGTTAGCACAATGGTAGGCTGAGCTTACCTCAAATATTTCAATGACAAAACTTTGATAATTCCTTATTAAGATTAGTGTGTGAGTTTCTCATTTAAACTGCAGTGAAATGAAACAATGACAATGATCAAAGCATCCTAATACCTTGAATTATGACAAGCAGCAGCTAACTATGATTGAAACAATTTCAACTAGTAATATAAAAATGTAAAAACGTTTGGAAGATCATACTTATATTGATACAATAACTTACAGTATTTACTATTACAAGTCACACAGTCATGAGGTTTGAAAGTTTCCTATGAGTGATCGGCCTCATTTTGGTCCTAGAATGTTGATCGTGACACGCTACGAAATAGTGATAACCACATGAATCAGTCGAGAATCATTTACCAAAGAAAAATTTAAATGGACTTTTAAAAATTTGCTACTTACTTTATTGATTCTTTGTCTCTTATATTCATTATTGTCAATGGAAGAGGTAAAACTTAGTATGGTATAAATACATTTTGAGAGTATAATGAATGGTTGAATATCTTGATTTATGAGGTGCTCAAGGGTTTTCGTATGCTGTTAAACTTAAAGAACAATGGCTTACTAATCAATGTCACAGGCCCACAACTAGAATTTAATCAGAATCTGTATCATATTACTGTGATTGCTTTCACTTTCATCTTCAATTTATGTGTCGTGACTTTTTGTCCTGGTTCTTTTTTGTTCCTTGTTTCTGATTTTTGCTTAGTTTATTTTATTTAAAAAAAAGTTTTGTGCAGCTCTATTTACATTTCTTTGATTTTGCATAACGTTTTTTTTTTTTAAGAATCAAGTTATAAATTTAGAACCGGGTAACAGTCGTGATGGGTGGGTACCCGGAGAAAACACTATTATTTGTATAATGTAATTTTGTTTTATAATATTTTTGTTATGTGGTACAGGCTTTTTCAAATAGAGAATGATTGAAAACAGAAATAGCATGATCTAAACAATTTATTTTGTCCTTTAACCCCTTTCACTGTGGAAGCAATGTTTATTTCCTTAGTATTAAGAATTTTTTTATTAGTGTTGTTATAATGTTAAAGCTTTTGCTATACAGTTTCAAAGACACTAAAATAGTTATTTATGATTTCATAGTAGAATCCTTTGTTTTGTGATGTCATGTTCATTCATCTTTTAGTAGCACTCAAAAATCACTTGTGCAGCATTTTTAGGCATCTTTCAATTATGTAACTTAATTTTATCTTGATATACATACATACAGTGCATACTTTACAAACAACTAGTAGTACTTAAAACTTATTTGGGATAAATACTGGGGCTCTTACAACACTCACTGCACAGAGTTTTTTTGGGATAATAGGGAGGGAAACCTTTTGTACAAGTGAAAGAATGGTTGATTCCTATTTTTTTTTTTTTTAATTTATCTTGGCTAAACAGTAATATACAGCTACAGAAATAAAACTGGTTGTCAGAGAAGCCCCGGGATTTGTCCCAAAACTGCTGTGAAAGCAAATTATCATGTTGAATTATGTCATAGTCACACAACTTTGTCATATGATGTACACAGCATATGATAAAACCACTAGAAAACTTGGGGATATCCCCTAGAATGCATCATACTTATAGCCAACATAAATACATCTGTATAGGATATAATGAAAGAAATGTAATATATACCATAGTTATGCAAGGTTTCTATAAGAAACAGTATAAATATAACAAGAAGAATTTCTTTTGGTTGTTAGGTTCTTGCAATCATTCATCCTATACTTTATAATTGAAAAATATTTAATGATACATTTTTAAAATCTTATCACTTGTGTACAGATAAATAGTTCACATAATTATATAATATACAGAGAACATACAACCACAGTGTTTATCTTCCAAAACATTCTCACCTCCGCTGACACTATAGCTATTTCTTGATCTTCAGGGTTTTGCACTCTTTGCCCATCTGAGCATTGAAAGTGCTTGCTCCAGTCTTTTATACCCCCACTTGAATGCCCTTGGCAAATTCAAATTTGCAAAATTCTCCATCAACTTCAATGCACCCTCTATCTAGGTACTGTATATAAGCACCTCATTCAGATAATGTAATCACTTTTTCTCTAAAAAGCATTCAGCATGGGTTTCTATAAACAGGAGTGTTGGGATTATTTACAATTTACGTTGTAACTTGGAATGTGGTTGGCGTTATTATGGTTATATCTTTGTTTATATTTTTAAATTACTTTAAAAACAAACACAAAAAATATGACAGGTATGAATTCCCGAGTTAATGTCTCTACTATGGAGGCCAATCAGACCTCTTCTTTTCCACCTCTTATCTTCAAGATCAGGAGTTCCAGGAAATTTGGATGGAAGAGGAGTCTACCCTCCATATCAACATTCTCAAACTCCTTGCAGTACACCAAGCAATGGTTCAAGGTCTGTCTCTCTTGAAGGGAAAAATTGTCATGATACATTCCGACAATTCCACTGTGGTATCTCAGATTTCTCGTCAAGGAAGCACACATTCTCATTCCCATTGTTTCAGAGTGATGAATTTAATTGCAGATCACTTGTTTTGACCCAACCAGATTCTTCCAACGGGATGGATGCTACATCACATGTTTTTTCAGTGGATTGCTCTCAGTTCGGGTTTTCCAACGATCGATGTCTTTGCGCCTCATTGAAATTCTCAACTGGAGTTGTTTTGGTATCCGATACCTCATCCTCAAGTGTTGGTAGTAGATGTGTTCAGTCAGGACTGGACAGGTTTACATCTGTATGCCTTTCTCCCAATTCAGCTATTGCTCTGGTTCTGACTATGGTTCGTTCCACTCCCTGTCAAGTTCTCTTGGTTACAACAAAATCGCCAGCTCAAAAGTGGTTTCTGCTCCTTCAGTATCTGCTAGAATGTCCACCTCTACCTCTTCCACATTTGCAGTCTCTGTTGAGCCAACCTCGATCAGATATTCTCCACCCAGATGTTTGGAAATTCAATCTTCATGCTTGGAAGTTATGTGGTCCTTTGCTCGACATAAGAGTTTAACTTCTAAGGTTTCTCTGTATTTAACTAAATCTCTCTGTAGGCCAACCACAACCATTTATCAATGGAAATGGAATTCTTATCAGTGGTGTATTAAAAGGAATTTATACCCTCTTCATCCTAAAGTATCTACCATATCCTGTTTTATGATTTGGGTATTTGAGAGGGGTCTTGCTTTGTCTACAGTGGCTTTATATAATGCCTCCTTATCCACTATTTTTAGGTATTCCAAATATCAGAAGGTATTTGAATCCTCAGTTCTATCTGGTCTACTCAAATCCTTTCATGTTCTTCGACTCAAACGATCTTTTCAATTACCAAATTGGGATTTTTACAGTTGTTTTACATACATTGTCTCATCCTCCCTTTGAGCCCTTAGCCTCATGTTCTTTGTTTCACCTTTCTCCTAAGTTGTATTTTTTGTTGTAGTTGGCTTGTGGACATCGGTAGTCGGAGTAGTTTGCAATCCATGTGCATCAGACTCTTTATTTAACCTGCTTTACCCCAATAGGTCTTTTCTTCCCAAGACTCTGGCAGCCAGGGAAGGGGAAAGATCCTTCTCATCAATCCATTTGCCAGCCATTTCTTACTTCTATGACCACTCTGATCCTGATCGTTTGTTATGTCCTGTTAGGGCCTTCAAGTGTGGCTCGTACTAACTTATTTTGAGATAGTAGGAATTGATTATTCATTCATTGGAATCCTTCAATTTCCTGTGACTTATCTCCCATTACCCTAACGAGATGGCTTCGTAAATTCATTCAAATGGCCTATAATGGATTATCATTACAGGAGAGGAATTTTTTGCATATCATATCTCACCAGATTCATCATTTCTCTATGTCAGTAGCTGCCTAGTTGAATTGCCCTCTGGAAGTCATTGTGTGGGCTGGTATGTGGACTACTACCAATACTTTCCTATCTCATTATTTATATGATCTGGCAGTTTCCTCTTCTGAGGGTTTTTGACTACCCCCTGTAGCTATTTTGACCACATCTGTTTGATTTTAACCAGAGATGATTATTTTCCTTAATCATACACTCTTTTATATTTCAACTGGATCCCACTCTGTTTCCAGAGCACTCCCCAATGCGTATTAGCCCTTAGACTTTATTAGTGGAGTGGACAGAGGCTTTTCCTCCAGAGTGTGTTCGTCCACTCTTGGAGAAGAGTGCAAAGTTGGGGGCCCTCCTACTCAGGTCCCTGAATGTTTTTCCAGATGTCAGTAGGAGTTGCACCAGCCTCTGCGGAAGCCTACTTGTAATTCTGGTTCAGATTTGACACAAAGCTATCCAGTTGGGGGGTGCATGGCCTTCCTCTTTGATCAATATTGGATTCGTATATTGTTCATGAAAGGAAGTCCACTATTTTCTCCTAATTCCTGAATGCAAAGTGGTCCCATCCTAGGTCCTTGGTTGAGCACAGGTTCCACATCCTTTCCATAATTCCAGGGGCAAGCGGAATACTCCTTGTCCACTTGGTTGGGGAATGAGGATGAATGTTCATAATTACAGACTGGATGAGTTCTGTTTTTTGGTTGAGTACGGCATACACAATCCCCTCATTCCAATCCTTGTGTGTTGCCTTTTGAACTTCTTCAGGTGGAGGAGAAAGTTTGTTCAATTTGGTGTTGCTTACTTTCTCGACATTATTCCGGTAGTACGAAATCATCACTCTATGGTTACAGTTTGGGATCCAATTAATAGTATATATAATCTTGCAGCAATAGCCCTCGCCACCAACGTGAGATATATGTACCACAACCCCCTTAATTCCAACCACAAGTTAG